ACAATTTTACGAAAATCGCTGTTTAGAGCCTCGTATCTCGCGAATAAAAATAGAAAACCGAAAAATGTTAAAGAACCTATTAACTAACTTTTTGTCCTCTACCAAATATCAAAAAAAAGTTTTTGTGACATAAGCACTTTAAAGACCCAACGTTGTTGGCTCAACTCAATCCAACAATTTTCAAAATAATATTTGACACTGTTTCTTTTGCAAAAATATTTAAATTTGGAAATTTCAGATTTGAAAAATAAGCAGTTGGACAAGGCAAAATATTTTACCGTTGACATAATGACATTGTTGCATAATGTTGGACCTCATTTTAATCGCAATGTTTACATTGTATGCAAATGCAACTATTACTGTGTCGACAAGTTTCAACCAGTAATGTCAATGCGTCTGCAGTTGACCATCATCTGCTGTCCTTAACGCTTATGGAAATCCACCAAAACCCCAGAAGTAACGTGGCCGTTTCCATCCCTCGTTGGGAAGGACGCAAACTCTTCAGATAATTTACTCCCGAGACCAGACTTGCATATCTAATATATTAGAACGCCTACTGAGGTTTCACATTACAGACTTCGTTCATTTCAAGCAGAAACACCGTAGCCGTAGGCTACTCCAATCACAGCAGTAATCAATATCGATTCTGTGGTTTCACTGACTTTCTCCGGTAAGTTACTCCTACCATATTGACAGACAACACCGTTCTATGTACACAGTGGCTACAGAAAATTTTGATGGTTATATTCATGTTGATAACCTTATGAAAAAGGCCTTAAAAGAAGGCACGACCGAAGAAGAGATAAAAGAAGCATATGTTGCTTGGAGCAAAACATATGAAAAGGTGAATATAAATTTCTCTTTTGTAAAGCCAGTTTCACGCAAAACGCATAAATACGAATTCGAACCTAGCTATAAACCGTGCGAATTCCCGTCTGAAATAGTAATGCAGGACAATCTTCGCATAGTTCCGAATTCATATACAGGGGATCTATTACAGTTAGGCGGTTTTGGCGCATTTGGGAGGGCGGTTTTCGTCTTTTCGAATATTTCTCAATTTTCGTGCGGTTTATTATCGCTCAGTGACGGGAAATCGTTGAGCATGGACTATATTTGATTTGACATAAGCTGCATTTGAAGATTGGCTGCCTTCATTGGCAGTTAATACCGATGTTGATACTAGAGTGATCATCGGTGGTTAATAGGCCCTTGGCAGCATGTTTGATTGCATGCCGGAAATATAGAGGAAAGGGTATTTTCGTGAGCCGTGAATGGTAGTGTCATGAAATGTGATTTGTTCTACAGCCGTGAGGCGTGATTGTCGATAAAAATGCTCCGTGAAATGAGAATGAAGGATGTCTGTTTCGTGAACTGCGATTTTGCTATGTTTATTTCGATCTATTTCATAATAGTCATAATCAATTTATATGATCTCACTCGATTCAGTCGATTGCAGAGTAAAAACTTCGGAGGCCTTTCGGAGGTCGTCGTATATGCTCGTCACTGAAACTTCTAAGTTATGATGTAGTTTTTAACTGACAGGTTGTACCATGCATCATTAAACATACTCTTAATAAACCTATTATTATAATATTATTTTATTAGAATCTAGTTTTCCGTGAAATTGCTTTTTTAAGACACGTGAATCGTGAAACGGCTTTTTTTTCGTTGTGAAACGTGACCCATACCCCCCCCCCCTTTCCCACCCTCTAAATACTGTACCATGCATTAAACATACTCTAAATAAACCTATTATAATTATATTATTTTATTAGAATCTAGTTTTCCGTGAAATTGTTTTTTTAAGACACGTGAATCGTGAAACGGCTTTTTTTTTCGTTGTGAAAAGTGATGCATACCCCGCCTTCTCACCCTCAATATAATTGTTTGGTATTTGTGGAAACATCATTTTAAAGCCTGCATGGATTTTCACCTGTAATTATTACAGCACCAAAGCCAATGAAAACCGTACTTGGATCGAAAGCTTCGCCAAAGCCGAGGAAAGAAACTAGATGTGTCCACAAGGTGCACCCCCTCTAGCTCCGCCCCTGCATGTAACATGGCACTACGTTTTAGCGAGGTAAATTTCCATACAAGTGACACCCTAGTTATACTTCAGCGCGTAAAATAAACTTGCCTGAAATACACGGCTAAAAACGCACAGGTTGTTGCAAGTTGATATCGACAGGCGTGAACAATGTTGTGCGGCCAACTATGAACAAGTTGTCAACCATGTTGTTCCAAGTTGTTACAGTTGAACAATGCTGTAACAACATGTTGACAATACTGTTCATAGTTGGCCGCACAACCTTGTTCACGCCTGTCGATATCAACTTGCAACAAGTTGTTGATTTTCTCAATTTTTACGCGTGTAGACAGAAAATACGGTCATCGAGCATCAAAAATATAAAAATTTCTGGGGGAAAATCCCTTATTTTGTACGAATTTAAAGATATGAAAATATCATGAATACATTGAAGGTAACAGGAAAATTTTTTACATTTAAGTTTCTATTCGGTAAAATTCTTTCACGTGTTTTTAGGATATTCTAAATCAAGGGTACGGCGGTCCAGCTGTAGCAGCGGAACAATTGGTACAAAAATTGAAAGAATTTGGATACACCAACGATGCTCGTATTCTAGATCTCGGCTGCGGCACAGGATTGGTCGGTGAAGAACTAAAGAAATATGGTTATAAAACTATCGATGGAGTTGACCTAACCCCCGAGTTGCTGGAGTCTGCCAAAGCAAAAGGTATATATGGATTACTACAACAAGGTTCGATGGGGTCTCCAGAGTGCAAGGATCTGGGCATTGGCGCAAACCAGTACGACGCCACCATTTGCGTGGGTACCTTAGCACTCGCACACGTGAAAAGCGAAGGCCTTGACGATCTCGTGCACGTGGTCAAACCGGGGGGATTGGTGTGTTTTAGCATAAGAGATCTTTCACTGAATGCTCCGCAAAGCGGATATCGTGAGAAAATGGATCAACTTTGCGAAGTTGGAAAGTGGAAATTCGTTGCAAAGCACCACCAAGCGGCTTACCTTACAGATGACGGTAAATGGTTCTTCGTGTATCAAAAAGTGGAAATTGCTTGAGAAGACATACACGCGTAAAAATCTCACATCTTGTTGCAAGTCTGACAACGAACCGTCAACAAGTTGTGCTCGCACTGCTTGTCCCAAGTTATCAACAAGTTTGGAACAAGCTGTTAACAACTTGTAACAACCTTGTTGATATTATCAGATTTGTTGCAAGGTTGTTCCAACAAGTCCGATACAGTCATGATATAACAATATTGTTACAACCTTGTGTAATCAACCTTGTAACATTCTTGTTATATCATGACTGTATGAGACTTGTTGGAACAACTTTGCTACAAGTCTGATAATGCCATCAAGCTTGTTACAAGTTGTTAACAGCTTGGTCCAAAATTGTTCCAACAACTGGGAACAAGCAGTGCGAAGACAACTTGTCGACAGCTTGTGAACAGATTTGTAACAACTTGTTTGCAGACCTGTAACAACTTGTGCGTTTTTACGTGTATGTCGAGAACTATATATTCCTAATAATGCATGTTGGTTGTTCTGTTGTCAGATATTGTAATACTACTGAATTTGATTTCATATTAAAACAATAAATGACTAGACAATATAATCTTTATTTTTTACTATTCAGGCGAAATTGCTGTAAATCACTTATTAACCCCCCCCCTCGTGAAGAAAATCCTGCTCTCTAATAAAGGCCAATAAGCTCCCGTCGCACTTCACAACAAAGAAACATGTGCACTGAAAACAATTGCCACCATGGTGGCGTTCTTCATGTGGCGTTTTATATGAAGTAAATGTAATCCGCTGTAGAAAGTCCTCACCTGAAACTTCAACGTTTTAGCGACGTTCTTATATATGGACCTATGGTTTCTCCAACACTAAAGTTACCCAATTGGCAATTGCAGATTTGCAGATGAAAGTACAAAAAAAAAGGGCAAGATAGTTTGCTCAATCTTGCACAAATTATATAATCTTTATGTATTTTATATTTTACCTGCAAAAGACAAGCAGACGTCGCAAAACGATAAATTGCTGTCGGGTGCGACGGTCGAAAGCCAATACAAAAAGCGCTAGCATGTGTTCCAGTCCAAAGCGCATCCATTAATCCTTTGAAAACACGAGCCCACACAGCGCATCAACCTCGTACCGAAGGTCTTTCCTCTTGACGAGGGGAGAAAAGACCCTGGTACTGCTAGTCACGTGATCTGCTAAAATCTAGCAGATTTTTAATGAGGTCAATAAATATTTGACATTTGGATAATTTTTATAGTTTAATTTATAATTTTCTTTTTGTATAATTGTCTGCTAGATTTTAGCAGATCACGTGACCAGCGTCTACCAGGGTCTTTTCTCCACAAGAGGAAAGATCCTGGGTACGAGGTTGACAGCGCATCAGGATTCACGTATCTGGTTATTGTGGCACCCAGAGGAAATTGGAAAATTCAACTTGAATTCGTTAAATAACATGGCGTAACTCAAATGAGACCTACGCTAAACCTATCCAATAAACCCTAGAACTACAACCGCCGTACTATATATTCAGTACTATTATTTTTATTATTACTGCTTTATTTCAATACGGAACTATTTCACAATATAAAACTGACTATATACAGAGAGAAAACAAAATGAGTAATAGGAAATTAGGCCCCCCATACCTGTGAACAATATTCAAAGTTTTAACGCGTGATAAGGGATGAAGGAGGGCGGAAAAAGAGGGCTCCCCAAGTTCGACAGGCTGTTGGAGTCGGTGTCAACGCTGTCGAAGTGGCATTTGCTGTAATTTCTGACCTACTGGGACCTGGCGTTTCAACAGCTGCCAAACCTTCTGTAAGCGAAACAGATGATGGACAGGATGCTTGCAATGTCTGTACCACCTGGCGAAGTTGCCTTGTGCTAGTTGAACGCAACTCTGGGCGCGACGGACCCGTGGTGGTCATGATCTTCTGAGTTTTCAACCCGTCCCGTTGCAAACTGACACCCTTGCATAATTAGTCTTGTCCTAAGTATGCTAATGCGACATCATCACGAGGGATAATGCATATTCGATGAGGTTTGAATAGAACTAGACTATTGTCTTGCGTTCCCTTGAGGATTAAGAACAATACGAGAACGCTGCGAAAACGGTACAGTGTAAACGCTGCCTAGGTTTCACATTACAGACCTCCATTTACAAGGCAAATCAGACCAAGCATGCAGATTAACCGTGATGCAGACTACACCGTTCCATGTACACAATGACTACAGAAAACTATGATGGTTATACTCATGTTCATAACCTTCAGGAAAAGGCCTTAAAAGAAGACACGACCGAAGAAGAGTTAAAAGAAGTATATGCCGCTTGGAGCAAAACGTATGATAAGGTGAGAAGTTCGTTTCAGACGAGATTTTTCAGTTTTGAGACGGGTCTTATTAAATACTGCCTGGAGCGCCCAGTGTCAAGCGAAATTTCTGACCAACCGTGACGGCTCATACGACGCTTACTAAATACATGACTATAGGTCGAAAACATTTTTTTAAGAGTTAATTACTGAGAATCGAGGCATTTAGCAAAATACAGCCGCCCGAAGGCTGTATTTGTATAAATATATTCGGCATTTTACTTCAAACCGTTTCAAGTGAGAACTAGTATGTTATACATAATTGATAATGATTGTGATCTGTAGCACTCGGGCCAGATGGCCTTTTATTAGCTGATATTGTGAATAGGCTACAGTCTACAGAGTCAGAGATTACGTGCAGGTCAGCTAAAAACAAGCAAAAGCCATTTTAAACGTTAGGCCACATAAAAAAAATAATAGTTGGTTAGCGTCCTTAGCTTTTGCCAAAAAGTGGGCGGGCGGCGCTTTTTTTTTTAAATTTTTACTCACTTTTAACGCCTTGGTTTTAGGTCCGAAACTGGATTTTCTTGCGCAGTACAGATATTTTTTATATATTTCAAAATATGATTCATACCGTCATTTTCGCACGCAATTTCGCAACTTATTAACACAATTGACTACAGTCAACAGAAATACTACATATATTAGAGCCCGTTGATCAATAAAAGTTGGGTTTTTTTAAAATAAAAAATAAAAAAAAATCCTGAGCGGGGCCTTTTTTGTGGGCGGGCGAGGACGCTAACCAACTATTTTTTTATGTGGCTTTAACCATATCTCTGCTTTTTCACATTCAGAAAGATCTCTGACTCTGTGTATTAGTACTGTATTAGTATACGAAAAATATTACTGAAAAACAGCTTGGAAAATATTCTTCGAAGGAACCCGTGTTGTTGTAGCCGGCAGTTGCGAAATTTGTGATTAGATGTAAATTATGCACATCATTTGAGCATGTGCAGAACTACGATAATCATGTATTTCGCATTTCAGGAATTGCGCGTGACACCGGACAATCACCTAATACCAGTTCGACTGTACCGTATTTTTAGGATATGTGTATAAATCTCTCGTACAACGGGCCAGCTGTAGCAGCGGAACAATTTACACAAACACTGAAAGAATTTGGATACACCAACGATACCCGTATTCTAGATCTCGGCTGCGGCACAGGATTGGTCGGTGAAGAACTAAAGAAACGTGGTTATAAAAATATCGATGGAGTAGACCTAATGCCGGAGATGCTGGAGGTTGCAAAAGCAAAATGTATATATGGATTACTACAACAAGGTTCGATGGGGTCTCCAGAGTGCAAGGATCTGGGTATTGGCGCGAACCAATACGATGTCGCCATTTGCGTGGGTGTCTTCACACTCGCACACGTGAAAAGCGAAGGCTTTGACGACCTTGTGCACGTGGTCAAACCGGGGGGATTGGCGTCGTTTGCCATCAGAGAGCTAGCACTGAATGCTCCGCAATACGGATATCGTGAAAAAATGGATCAACTTTGCAAAGAGGGAAAGTGGAAATTCGTCGCAAAGCACCACGAAGCGGCTTACCTTTCAGATGACACTGCGGGTGCATGGTTCTTTGTGTATCAAATATTGTGAGAATATAAAAGTAGTAAGTCCTATATGTAATGATGGAATTTTTGTTGAAGGTTGAAATTAAATTTTCTCTCATATTGTCTTGTATTTTCTTCAAATATATGTTGATGGTACAATATAAAGAATAACTGAATAAGGATTGTATGGGGTCTGGGGGCATGTAATTTGGATTCCTAAGGTCACTGCAACCGGCGTCCACCATTTCCTGCTAATGCTTATGGAAATCTTTGAGTCCACACTTTTATTGAAGTGGATATAAGTACTCTTCAGATAATTTATTCTATCCTCGTTTAACATTACAGATCTCCTTCAGTTTACAAAGCAAATCAGACAAAGCAAAGACTGCACCGTTCATAATCACTCTAAAGCCCCTCCTCCTTCTACTTAAGGCTTGTTCAAATAAACCCCACACTGTTGCCCAACTGCTTCCAACAATTTTCAAATAATGTTTGGCACGGTTTCTTTTGCAAATATATTAACGCACAGAATTTATATTTGGAAAAATCTTCTGATTTTATCCCAGATTTGAAAAATAAGAAGTTAGACAAGACAAAATATTTCACCATTGACATTGTTGCATAATGTTGGACCTCATTAATAGAGACTGGTTCAGATTTGACTCTACTACCACTACCTCTCACTGTCTTTGTAGTACGAATTTGACAGTGTTGTGAGTCACCAACAGGTCGAGTCACGAGTCGAGTCATTTCACTATCTGGTCGAGTCGAGTCAATGACTTCACTCGAATCGAATCAATAGCTACACGAATTGTACGGTGAACAAAAAGGTGAACAAAAGTGGAAACATGCCTAGCTGCATCGAGAATTACTTTTGTATTTCTTCAAGCCCTTTCACTCAGAACTCTTCCCAACCTATTCATCGACTATATTTTTGATCGGAATTTATCCCCCAACAAGTTGTAAATGAGTTGACTCGAGTCATTTATGGCAGAAATCAACAAGTCGAGTCTGAGTCGAATCATTTGGGGTTGTTGACTCGAGTCCGAGTCGAGTCATTTGGGGCTGTTGACTCGAGTCGAGTCATTTTTCGTATTCGATTCGAGTCGCAGAAAATTGCGACTTGAGTCCGAGTCAATGACTCGATCCAGTCGATCGACTCGTTACAACACTGGAATTTGATTGGTTAATCGGATATATGAAACGTATCTAATTGGTTAATAGTCCCTGTAGCGGTAGTGAAATCTAAACCTCATGTTTACATACTTTGATACTGTATGCATGTATGAGAGATATTTTTTACGCTTGCTTGCCCCTACCGCCCTACAAATGTCAATACATGTGCAATTGACCATCATCTGCTGTCCTTAACGCTTATGGAAATCCACCAAAACTCCACAGTTAATGTGGATTTCCATCCTCGTTGAGAAGGAAACGAAATCAGATCCCGAGATAATTTATTTCAGAGGCCAGATATGCATATCTAATAGGTTTCACATTACAGACCTCGTTCATTCACAAGGCAATACACCTTTCAATGCACACAATGGCTACCTTTGATGGCTATACTCACGTCGATAAGCTTATGGAAAAGGCCTTAAAAGAAGGCACGACCAAAGAAGAGTTAAAGGAAGCATATGTGGCTTGGAGCAAAACATATGAAAAGGTGAGAAGCAGAGATTCGCGAGAAGACGAATTCGAGCCTAGATGTATTAAAATTGCACAAATTCCAATGTGATTGTGAAATAGTGGAGCCGGACGAATCTTCGCATGGTTCCGAATACATTGAATTGTCCGAATGGCAGCCAAAGTCGGTCTGCACGCAAGCTATAAACATTAAGGTTTTCGAGACGGTATATATACAATATATGTACTATATATATCAGCATGCCAGAACCAGTGAGCTCTATATATACTGGAGTAAGAACTTTAGTCATGCGTGGCGGAATAGACCTTCCCCCATCCTCGTTCCCAGGGCTTCTCGGCTGCCTGCGTTGCCGTAAGCCCTGGGACAAGCCAAACCGGAACACCACAAATTCTGGTGTTTTCCGGAAGTAAACGCGTCTGCTGCAAGCCAAAAATGCTGACTATGCACTAATTTTTATCGAGGAGTGGAGACGTGTTGGTGAGCAGAAAATATTGGATTTTTGTTTTGTTTCGATGTATTTTCCACCATCAAGGGAATATATACAGACCACCTAATGGAATTATACATATTGGGGGTTTATATTTAGTTATATCGTTAATATTCGTCAAAATACAACCTATTTCGGTCTCGTATTACATGTATCAATTTTCATGTATGATGTAAACATGATCGAGTCGAAATGGGCTATTACATTAAAAAACCAAACCCCCCCTGTCGAGGACCTCTGCTTTTTGGGATTTTACCCCTCTGGAATGCAAAAAAATCTGTGTAATTTACCCCTTTGGAGGAGACTTGAACCCCCTCTGGAAGTGCATTTTTGCTTTTTAACCCCTCTGGAAAGAGCATTTTTCTTCCATTTTTCCCAATTACCCCTCTGGAAAAAATGACTAATTTCCCCCTTGGAAAATGAGGTCCTCGACAGGGGGGTACGGGTATTAAATGTAATAGCCCAATGTGCTCGAAGTGGCTGCTGTGATTCGAAACATCATGGGTTCTTGTACAGATGACCTGTTTCAACACGCGCTTGTAAAGTCACTTCAAAGACTGGACAAAGCCGGACTGGAAATTAAGAGAAGTAATTCGAAGCTTTATCGTCTATCGTATGTATATAAAAGGAACAAGAACGACATGTGACATGTCTAAACGGCGGTGTGTGTCTGTTTACTGGGTTACAACAACGGCAATAACAATGAATCACCTAATATTTCAAGAAAATATAAATTATAGATAGATGTCATGCATGACCCCATGAGTTTTGTATTTGAATTGGTAGATTTAAATCTATATTATGTATACAAAATCATGCGTGCGTAAATTTGAGCAAAAAAGCACAAGGTGTTTGTTTGGCCATATGCCCATCATGTAGTATGAATATTGAACACCGTTTTATATAGCACGTTTAAAACGTTACTTCCATGCCGGATAATCCTGAATCCTTCACCGATTACATGCGTGGCAAATGACGAAAAATAATTATGTAAAATAATTAACCTAATATGTCTTTGGGCATGAATGCAACTCACTATGCTGCTTTATACATCTGACAGTCAAAACTATGTGCATGACTGTATGGCCCAATGTATGTTAATTGTTTCAGGGAAATTTTTGTGTTCAGATTAAAGTATAACAATATTTTCTGCATTCCAATATATTTTCTACATGCAAGTGCACATTCTGTTTCAGATAGGGGCCAAATGGGATAGCCAATGATTGGAGGGTAGTGTTAGCAAATTTGACTCCCTTACATAATGTCAAGTTATCACTGGTCAATTTTTAAATTTCTTACAATTTCACATCAGGGAGTAATTCATTCTCCCCCCCCCCCTCCAATTTTCCAGAAGTGTGACTAAGCATTTTCTAGTAGCTATCCATATGTCCAATCTAAATCTCCACCACAACAGGATGTATACCTGAGTGATGGTAAGGGAGGTGGGGTTAAAATTCTGATTTATCAATATATTACTACACATTTCCACATTAAAAATATGAAAAGTTTTCCAGTTCAATATATCTATAGCAGGAGGCTTAAACCAGAATTTCAGAATACAAAGCAACTTTTATGTCATTTTTGTAATGGTTTGTTTAAAATCAATTTTTATACAGACATGGTAGGGTGTCTCCTGGCTAGAAGCCTGCATATACATATACAAATTTTCAGTTTTGTTAATAATAATAGTTTATTTATAACTTCAATTCTTACAAGATTTGCAATAAGTCAACAGAATAAGTATTCCATTCTGAACTGTTGACAGAAAACAGTCTAAATACATGATCTCATCCAAATGACACAAGAATTCGAGACCCCCACCTTGGGCATACCAGGGGCATTCACTTAATTTGGTGTGTGAAATTCAGTGAAGTCCCCTGCAGCCAGGACAAAATGGCAAGGTAAATTTCTTCAGTCCTATCATCCCCAAACCATTCCTTTACTGTTTTGTAAAAGCCTTTCCTAGCCGACTGATTTATTTCAGCATTTATATAAAAGACTAAGCCTTTCCTAGCTGACTGCTTTATTTCAGCATTTATATAGCCAACTGCTTTATTTCAACATTTATATAAAAGACTAAGTGACCCCC